CCTTTGTTGCAGAAAGTTTAAGAAGATTCACATGATATTAAAAAGAAATGGAGAAAGTAAAGATAACGATAATATTGGTAACAATAAATATATCTATTAAATGGCAATAGAAGATAAAAACAGAGAGCAATAATCGACAATAACAATGAAAAGTGTACAAATATCATTTAAAAAGGTTGTGTATCGTTGAGCACCGATGGGAACATTAGCGCCTCTCGCGGGAACTCGCGGAAGTAAACTTTCTCAGCGTCACAGAGAAACGTTGCGGTGGGGTAACCGTATTCGGCGTCCCCACCCTCGTTTGCGAGCAAGTAATCGTAGATTGTTCGAGTATGTGAAGAGAGCTGTAGGTTTCGTATTGGGTTTGTACGGCAGAGCGTAAATTACACAGTTTTTGTTCGACCGTAATTACACGTTGGTATACGTTGAGATTCGATTTTGTTGTTCTCGATTAGAATGGTTTTATTCGTTACTTTTCCCGTTCACCCGGTATACACGCATATACAGGCTGCCCCAAAAATGTCTCGCAATCCGGATATAAGGGTTCCTGAGGCCATTTGGAGTAACTTTTTCCTTTGCGAAAATGCAATTCGCGGCTCCGTTCGCGAGTTATTGTCGAAAAACAGTAACCAATGGGCGGCAGTGACCGGCAGTGACCGCCACGTCTCGCGCCAAACGAGCTCGCTTCTCATTGGTCACTGTTTTTCGTTAATATCTCGGAAACGGAGCCGCGGATTGCATTTTCGCAAAGGAAAAAGTTGCTTGAAATGATCTCGGGAACCTCCATCTTCGGATTGCGAAACATTTTTCGGACAACTTGTAGGAATCGTTGCAAAATGGCGCGCGTGTGCGCGGGACAATCGGAGAGGAGCGTGCCTTTCGTTCGATCGTTCGCAGTCGAGATTTATCAACGACGGAATCGTCGAAACGGCCGTGTCCCGCCCGCGGACATGCGACGGTAACAACAATTTGAACCCCCATCTTCCGTAACGACCCCCCGAGAACCTTTGAATGATACAAACTCTACTATTTTTCTTTTTTTTTGTGTGCAGCATCGTAGAAACGTAGTTCAGTTCCCTTGTTCTAATACTTGCGACAAGTTACGCTCTTCTAGACATAGTGGCAGCTGACGTAATTCATAATAACCGGTCGCTGCAAACGTCTTGACGATCTCTTCGCAAACTTCCGAACGCTCTTACCTCTTTCCAACAATTTTACAACGATTTTACGGTTCTACAAACATGTGGCAAATCATTCGCTTTAGTCGCTTCAACTCTGTTTACTTTTTCTAGTGTTTGAAAAAGAATCCTTTGTTATCTGCGGAGTTTTATGCAAAACATAAATTGTCTGCATTCGTTGAAACGAATAGAAACCAAAATTGTTTCTTCCCTTAATTATTGCTGGGGTAAAAGTTGTTCAGAATTTCATCCCCTAAAATACACTGCTCGACGAAATTATAGCACAAGAAAGTTTTCGATAAAAATCTGCCAACTTCGACAGACGATTAATCCGCGAAAAATCATCGCAGGATCATGATCTTTATTCTAAATTGAAGCTCGAATCCTCTACTTTAAGATACCGTTTCTGGATTTTAAGTTCGATGCACCCTCGCCGCTGTAACCCTTTAAATGTGCGAGGCCACCTTGGAATGCAAGGGTTACTTTAAAGCGTTGTAACTTTGTGAGAAAAAATCGCAGCCGCGTTTCTCTTTCTTCAAATTAAAGAGGAAGAATCGAGTTTCATTCGCATGCAAACGGCATCCCAGGAAAAAATTTTACGTGGTCCGCACAGTTCGTCAAACTTGACGAAAAACTTGACTGCGAAACATTCGATATGACAAACATGGCGTCGTTTTTAAGGGATTATAGCGGCGAGGGTGCATCAAACTTAAAATAAAGAAATATTGTTTTAAAGTAGAGATTTCAAGCTTTAATTTAAACAAAATATCATTATCCTACGATGACTTTTCGCGAAGTTATCGACTGTCAAAGTTGGCCGATCCTTATCCAAAATTTTGGTGTGCTATAATTCTTTTGAGCAGTATATAATAATAATAATAGTGATAATAATTATGTTTATTAAGTCAACAGGGGGGTGACTCTGTTACAGGAAGTGTAGTAATAGCGAGGACCCGGGTAAGAGTGTATAATAATTACAGCAGTAACAATAACAACAGTAAGATAAAATTAAATATGATCCATATGCAATTCTTTTTCAAGATTAAATTAAGATTAAATTGTTTAAGACTAATCCAAGTGAACATCCGTTTTGCACGAAGATGTCGTGGATCCGTCGAGACGTTCGCATCGGCCCGAGACAATTAGAGTCTGCGTAGAGAGCGATCGAAAGAGACGTACCGTATATTGTTCTCGTCGAAAACAGTTTCGACGGTGGTTGAACCCGTACCCCCGTAGAGAAAGGAGACAATTGAGAACAGAAAGGAAGAAGGGGTACGCTGACGAGGCATCTCTCGCCCCGAGATTCTATGCAACGAATTTCCCCAGGATTTGACCGCGCGGTGATCACGGATTTCAGAGCGCGAAACGGGACGAGGAACGGCGACCATGATACGTGCGAGAGGGCGAGACGTGAACTCGGTTCTCCCGGTGTTCCGGCGAGCCGGATCATCGATCCGGAAGGCACGCCCAATTTTTCTCGGCAGCCTGCTTTTCGATCGACTGCTACGATCTGGCCTAGTTCGAGCGACTGGAAAACGCGGCTCGCGCCGGTCTCGAGCTCGAAAAACGCCGAAAATTCGCTTCGAATCGATCTCATTCCGATCCTCGTCGTCTCTCGTTAACACTAGATTCACGTCAAAATGGCGGGTCGCTAATTTTTTGATTTACGATCATTCGTATCGTAAAGATACGAAGTTATTTATATATTATTTATTTACTTATATTTATTTTACTTATTTTATTTAGTTAGATACTTAGTTATTTATCCAATTTGTATGCTACTTATGGCAAATGTTGCAATAATAACGTGTTCAAAGTCAGAATAAATGTCCTATTTTGTTGCCTTTATAAAGTAATATAAATAGCTGTTCTTTGGGCTCCGTAAATCTAGTGTTAAAGTCGCGCGATCCGGGAATAAATATTAATTACGATATAAATATTCGGGAATAAATATGATTTACAGTATAAATACTCGGGAATAAATATTAATAAAATAACGATGCACGCTGTCGCCCATTGGCCGGATGTTCCCGGCGACGCCGCGCGACCGCCAGAAGAGGAAGAACCGAAACGATCGCGCGACGTTAACGAGGGAAGGTCCGAAAAACGCCCAGAACCGGGCCGCGCTCGCGATATCGATCGGAAGTAGAAAGTTGCGAGGCGGACTCGCTCGCCTCCTTTAGGGAGCGTTTCGGGGGACCGTTCTCCCGGCTCAGGCGAAACGACGAACAACGATGAACGTTTTGCAGGAAAGAACGAGAGGGACCGCTCGGCCGAACGATCGTGGGCTGATTTGACGAGTGCTGAACGGGACAATGATAAAATAAGAGAGACGCGGCCCCCTGCGAAACCAAACGAAACGAGTTGCGAGGACAGTCATTTCTCCAAGAAATGTTCGGAGGTCCGGATTGAAACCGGCAGATCCGAGAATACTGAGTCGCGATTCTTCCAGCCTCGCGGCTCGTTTTACCCGCGAAACTCGGGGCAGTCGGCGAAAAAAGACGGCGGCCAGCGTGCCGGTGTTCGTTAATATGAATACATAGCTATGCTCGAATAATAAGGATGACTTGAGTTTTGTATTTGCGAACTTTTGTATTCGTTGCCGCGATTCGAAGGTCACATACTTAATAGAGTAATTTTTCCCTAATTCGCGCGACGATTCTGTCACGTGCACGCCATCGCAGCGATTCATTGAAGATGCCTGTGTGGCTCTCGACGAGCTCTCCGAGGTAGAACGCGGTAAACGTCGACGGTCACTCAATCGCGAGGGAGATCGAACGAGATAGCATTTAACATTGGAGCGGCGTTGAACGGACGTTCTTTTTTCATGTTCCACAAAATGCAATGTCTGTATATATTTTATGTGTATCGTTTTTGCATCGCGGATCTTCACCGCGGACTCTCGTTTCTAGCTGCGATGGTAGATTCCAAAGGCATTTATATTTCGATAATTGCTAATAAGCTGTTCAAAAGGGATCTATGATCTCAGTTTCATTTTTTCGGGATTTTTGGCATCTCTCATTTCTATGCCCTCCGATTCCCAAAAATCCGGAAAACGAATTCTACTAGTCTCAGTAACTGGCCCAAAATTTTGCTATCGACCTGGCGGGACCAGTTACTGAGACTAGTGGGATGGATTTCCAGACATATCCGAAAAATCCAGAAAATGAATTCCACTGGTCTCCGTAACTGGTCCAAAATTTTGCTGCTGACCTAGCGGGACCAGTTACTGAGACTAGTAGAATTCATTTTCCGGATTTTTGGGATCTCCTCAGAAATCGATCCCACTAGACTCCGTAACTGGTCCCCCTAGGTCTGCAGCAAAATTTTGGACCAGTTACTGAGACTAGTAGAATTCATTTTCCGGATTTTTGGGATCTCCTCAGAAATCGATCCCACTAGACTCCGTAACTGGTCCCCCTAGGTCTGCAGCAAAATTTTGGACCAGTTACTGAGACTAGTAGAATTCATTTTCCGGATTTTTGGGATCTCCTCAGAAATCGATCCCACTAGACTCCGTAACTGGTCCCCCTAGGTCTGCAGCAAAATTTTGGACCAGTTACTGAGACTAGTAGAATTCATTTTCCGGATTTTTGGGATCTCCTCAGAAATCGATCCCACTAGACTCCGTAACTGGTCCACCTAGGTCTACAGCAAAATTTTGGACCAATTACTGTGACTAGTAGAATTCATTTTCCGGATTTTTGGTATCTCTTCAGAAGTCCATCCTACTAGTCACAGTAATTGGTCCATAGTATAGTACCAATGTGACTATATACCAATTACTGTGGCTAGTAGAATGGATTTTCGGAAAAAAATGAGAGCAGGAGTGCAGCTTCGTTACTTTATGGAAAACTAATCCTACAATAAATAGTTTTGCAGAAATTAGAGAAAAGTTGCCTAGAAGATGTTGTAAAAGGAAAATAAAAAAAATGCCGTTAAATCTCACGAAGTTGTAAATTTCCTTGCATTTTAAAAACTCTATCAGATCTTGTCGAATCGTGAATTGTCTTTCATTCGAAAGAAACGCACACGCCATAAATACGTGAAGATCCGCGGTCCAATTAATAATTAGACTAATCATTAATGAAGCGATTACCTAGACGATACGGAGCGGCAGCTGCTACTACGGATCCCTGTGCAACGCGTTCGCCGTTCGTTGAACCAAAATTGATTCGAATAACTTTCATGAACCAGAATTGATTCGAATAACTTTCATGAACCAGAATTGATTCGAGTAACTTTCTTGAACCAAAATTGATTCGAATAACTTTCTCGAATCAAATTTGATTCTCTAGATGCACCGCCTCACCTACAATGCATAATACATTCGCGCACTCGTTGCACACCGCGGCTGCGATTTACTCCGATTTACTCGATATCACGGCCGGCGGCCAGCGCGAATTTCATCGGCGAGGAGAGGTCAACCTGCGAGAGAAGAATAAGAAGAATCCTAGAGAGACAGAGGGAGAGATAGAGAGGACGTTACCAAACACGCGAAGGAGGGAGCGCCAGCTGGAAACGATCGGCAGGGTAATACACCGAAGACTATTTCTTTGTACCTATTTATTTGTGTTTCGCAATTATTTCCGGGAACTGTGCTCCCGCCGGCGTCGTTGTTACGATCGACAGCATCAGAAGGACTATTATATACATGCATTCGAACCTGTACACGTCTTAGGGCTCCTGTTGCAACTCCCCGACCACCACCATCACCACTTCAACCCTCGCTGAAATAAAGAGAGAAAACGCGTTCGCGAGCGTGCAACCCCGGCGGCGGGCTTTCCGGGGCTGTTGTTGATCGGCGAGCGGTCCGCGGGCGGCGTCGGAGAGAAGAAAGGAAATCGATATTGGGACCCCCCAAGGGCACGCGTTATGTACGCCACTGTCGGGTAAATTGCGGCCGCCCTGGGAAAAAAGCCAGCCAGCGGAAATTTCGTCGTATCGTTTCCCTGATCCCCGCACCGTCGAGAAATATTAGGAACTATCCCCCCCGCCCCCTCCTCACCCTGAAACCACTCTTACTGTCTCTACCGTTGCGTCTGACCGCGGAACAACAGTTTCCCGGTGGGAATTGATTTCCCCGAGTGCGAGAGAGGAGATCGTCCTTCGGACGCGCGGTCTAAATTTTTCAAAAGCAGTCAGTCCCTTGATTTCCTCCGACGCGACGCACGGTCGTGCGAAACGCCCATTTTTCTTGGACGCAGGTAACGTCTACTAGAGACAATTCTCAAGGAAACGCAAAGGGATGAACTTTACGCTCGCGTTCGGTTTAACAGAAAATGCCCATTTTTTCGTTCGCGATTCGTCAGATTGTAAAGATGCATTTACGTATTATATCGTAATTATATTAACACATTTTTACTTTACTATATCTGTAAATAATGTTTTTACTGTGTGTATAAGTCAAAATTTATTATTATTATTATTATTACTATATATAATAATAAATTAATAAATAATTAATTAATAGTAAATTATATATATATGTTAATGTATGATAAATATAATTGTGTAAAGCAACTTATAAAAATGTATGTGTACTATATCGCTTTAAATAAGTACCCCTAATTTTAATTAATTATTTAAACATTCGATATCTAATTTCTATTATTTGCTAATATATTTATTTATTTTAATAGCAAGTATGTATTAGTATATCATAAATTTAATTATCAATAATATTTTGTTGAAATATTATAACATTCGAATATTATAAAATCAGAATAAAAGTCTTATTGTTACTTTTAAAATATTTTGTTGTACTTAAATGCTATTATTTAAGTGTGGCAACAGCCAAGTATATGCTTTTAAACTTGTACATTTAAAATAAAAATTTATTCGACGCAGAGGGTAATGTACACTCGCGTCGAAAAGTATATCATCAACCCCTAACCTGAATGCAAAAAATTCATTTCATTGTGTTTCCTTATGCTAGGATCACTTGATAAAAAATTTAACACGTTCGCTGTCAGTGTCACTAATATCGTCGTAATTATAATATAATTATATTGAGGAAATTAGTTCGACGTTGTCTACGTGAAATAGAAAACCATAGTCGTCGCACACGCGTGACGCCGGCAGCGAACGCCTTCAGAAAACAGAAAATTTCGACGATAAATTTTCACCGACTACTGTCCACGAAAATAGGCTCCACTGTGCGGCGCGCGACGCCCGTAATTCGATAGCATAAGTTCGCCCACGGCATTTATATCCTTTCCCCCTTTTATATCCCGCTCCATCCGGTAATATCGCGGCGACACGACGCGATACCCCGGCAAGACAGCTGGGCGTGTTTTCATCCCGAAGACGCAGGGGCAGGACGGCAAGAGAGAGAGATTCGGCTGCACGCATCCTCCCTTAGACACGGTTGCGAATAATTTTGTTGAAGCAAAGATGAAATGTGTAAAAGAATCTAGCAATTTCGAAAGAAGCGGCGCACCGAGACTCCGAACGTGTTTAACAGCTTCGATGTTCGACGTTAATGAATGTACGAAAATGTAAAAGTTTTAGGAAACGAATATAATACGAACGAATCTTTCGAAAGCTTATATTATATTAGAGCAATAATTTCAATGCTAATACTATAATACCAATAATATAGTAAGTAACAATAATATAGGGAGAAGTAATTTGTCATAGAATTTGAATTGTAAGGAATAATCTTGAGATTAATAAAAAATAACTGTTCATTTTAGCGCTATTTTCAGGTGAAGTAATCAAACCGACCTCAATTTCATTTTTTCGGAAAATGAATTCCACTAGTCTCAGTAACTGGTCCACCTAGGTCGATAGCAAAATTTGGGACCAATTACTGAGACTAGTGGAATGGATTTTCCGCATTTTTGTCATCTGTCCCGAAAATGAATTCCACTAGTCTCAGTAACTGGTCCAAAATTTTGCTGTCAACCTAAGGGGACCAGTTACTGAGACTAGTAGAATTCATTTCCCGGATTTTTGGGAGTTTGAAGGGATGTCATAAGGCATGTTGATCTAAGACTAAAATTAAGTCGTTTTTTAAGTTTTAGTCTTCCGTGAACATACCTTATGAGATCCCTTCAAACTCTCAAAAGTCCGGAAAATGAATTCTACTAGTCTCAGTAAAACTGGTCCACTTAGGTCGATAGCAAAATTTTGGACCAGTTACTGTGACTAGTAGAATTCATATTCATTTCCCGAAAAAATGAGAAGGCCAGTGCAGGTTCATTACTGTATGAAAAAAAATGGAAAAACAACCCTAGAATGAACAGTTTATTGTTAATTGCGAAAATATAAATGCTACGTTGCAAATATTTCATAAAACTCGACGGCATTTCGTGCAAGTACCAAAGTACCATTGATTTTTTGAAACACCCTGTATACGGCCTAAGGATCCTCCCGCACCCTCCTCAGGGGTCCCATCGACGCGCAGCAGGCTCCTACCCCTCTGAACACCGACGCCGGATGGGGGAGGATGGATCTATTAGCTCGGTGTTTCGCAAACTTCTTCGTGCTCGAACCGGTATCTCTTTTATTTAATTGTCCCGCGAGGCGTGGCTAGAAATACGGACCTGCCGGCCGTCGATCTAACCCTTCAGCAAACATCAACGGAGAACGTACAACACAATCTTCTCGGACGCGGTCCTCGTTTCTGGAAAAAAACAACCTCGAGGACGCGAGACTTGCACGGAACGAACCCTCGCGCGCGCGCGCGCGGCTTCTGCAAACTTGCCGTCTCCATTTTCCGGACAACGGAATCTCCTACGAGTACGTTCTACTACGGGTGGTGTCAATTACTGTGCCCTGTTTGCGAACTTCGCGAGAGTTTCTCGCTGCTGAAAACAACTTCAGCAATTTCATTGACGTTTGTCGCAACGAGTTAAAGGTAAATTTCAAAGTTTCTTTTATCGACAGCAATTGTCTCCCGCGATGCAAATATCAAATCTTCTCTGAATATTAGGAGGGAGAGGAGAGAGTCCTGCGCCAGTTACTGTGTGCCTACCAATCGCTGCGCCTTTTTATTTATTTTAGGGCATAATTTATATATATTATATTATATTATATATATATTATAATATATATATAATATAAATATTATATTATATTATATTATATTATATTTATCCTGTAAGACACCGATTATTTATTCGTTTATTTATTATTTGTTAAACATGTATGATTATTACTATATATTGTTATTGTTATATTATTATTATATTACTTATTATATATATTATATTTTAATATTGTTATATTATTATTACATATTATCATATATTATTTATTAAGCATATAAGATTAATAGCGAAAACTCCTGAAGGCTGCGAACGGGGCACAGCAATTGGCTCCTCCACCCAGATTACTGCGCCACGATTTCCCAGAATCCTTCGGACGTTTCTATTCCATCCCTCCGTGTAATTGGTGCGTGCAAGTTTCGCGGTGGAAGCCGTAAATAAGGCATGGAGGTCAGCGATGCCAGCGAAGAAAAGGGACGAAGGGAAAACGCGAAGGACAAGGGGAAAGGGAGCGTTTCCTCGTGATCCCGGCGTAAACGGTATATCTCACCCCCTCTGTTCGGTCCCCTCGTGCTCCGAGCCGCGGCTCCTCCCCGCCCCCATCCTCTCTCCGCGCGTCACGAAACGCGGTCACGCGAACTCATGATCGCCGGTAATGCGTTTCTTTTTATTTATTTATCGCCCCAGCGGTGGAAAATACGGGGCGTCGCGCACCCTCCCCCGCCCCCTGACCTCTGCAGCGATGGAAACTCCGAAGTCTCGACGCCGTGAATCACCAGCCAAGGTAGGTGAACATTCCATTACGTTCTTCGGTTGATCGCGTCCCGGTTACTCGAGCAACAATTCCTGCCCTCCCTCGTTAGCGTCTCGCTCTCTTATCAACCACTGTTATTCCGCGTACCGTCCCTCTCGCAACGCGCCGACGAATCGGCCGACGCGCCGTGATCCGGAGGCCGGTAATTTTGTTCGTAGATAACGTCAATATTTCGATAGATATAAATAAACTTTTTAGTTAATTTCAAGATACAGTAAATTCTCTCTAATTGGCACACGGCTCGGAAACGAAAATGAACGGTTTGGGAAGGGGAGGCGCGATTGTTTCAGCTTTGCGGTTCTATAAACTATAAATTAATATAAACTATATAATAATAATAATATTACACAATAATATTATATAATAATAATAATATAACTGTACGATAGTAATGTCAACTTCGTGACGAAATATAGCGTTGGAAAAACAGTTTTATTAAATTGAAATTGAAAATAATTACTTCGTTCATCAATTATTAAGATATTAAAACGCAAATTTCGGCTATATTTCATAACCTTAAATCTTGAAACAACGGTGAAACGATTCTCTCGTCTCGGAAATCGAATATCGCAGACCGACGTTGCGACGTCGACGAGGAAAAGCAGCACGGATTGTCCCGAAACGAAAATATTCGAACGGACATCGATCGTCCGATTGATCGATCAGCGACGCTATTTTTATCACGGCTCATCCGCGCGTCTTAGCTTGGGCATAAAATTGCATTACTTAAGCGACTCGCTGACCGTAAGTAGCCTCCGTTTGCGGAACGGTATTAGCCTAAAGGGGAAGTGGAGCGATTCATAAGGGTGGTTGGCCACCCCCTTTCGCACGATTTATCGCACTTTTATTGCCAGACGTAAGCCATTCGCCGCAGATTCTCCGCCGTTTGATCGCGAATCGTCCGCCCCTATCGGACCAACCCCACTCGCGCGCCTATGCGACTATAACGAGAACGAACTGCGAGATAATCGGGGGAAAGATTACTGTGTCGAAATCGCGATCCGACAAACCACGCCCGCCTGGAATGTACGAGTACAGTAGAATGTAATTGCAGCAATGGGATTTATTAATAAAAAGTACAGTACATAAAATAAAGTAATATAGATTCGATTCGAAGGCAATTCGGAGACAATTCGGAGATAATTCGGAGGCAATTCGGAAGCAATACGGAGACAATTCGAAGGCAATTCGGAGACAATTCGGAAGCAATTCGGAGACAATTCGAAGGCAATTCGGAGACAATTCGTAGGCAATTCGAAGGCAATTTGAAAGCAATTCGGAGACAATTCGAAGGCAATTCGGAGACAATTCGTAGGCAATTCGAAGGCAATTTGAAAGCAATTCGGAGACAATTCGAAGGCAATTCGGAGACAATTCGTAGGCAATTCGAAGGCAATTTGAAAGCAATTCGGAGACAATTCGAAGGCAATTCGGAGACAATTCGTAGGCAATTCGAAGGCAATTTGAAAGCAATTCGGAGACAATTCGAAGGCAATTCGGGGACAATTCGGATACAATTTGAAGGCAATTCAGAGACAATTCGGAGATAATTCGAAGGCAATTCAGAGACAATTCGGAGACGATTCGAAGGCAATTCGGAGACAATTCGAAGACAATTCGAAGGCAATTCGGAAGCAATTCGAAGACCAAATGCCACGATTTTTCTTACCAGAATCCGACAACCTTTAGCATCGACGTAGCAATAAACCACATAGGCGCAGGACCAGCACAGAAGAATTCACAGCAACCAAAAATTCGACATTTCCTCGAGAAATTACTGTATTCGTCTCGTGAATTTCCGTTCCGATCCCGATCCAACTCATCCAGAAGCGAAACACGAGCCGCTTCCTAATGGGCAAAACGGCGTCGTCTCGGTTTCGCTTAGGAATCGAATAGCCCCGAGTTTTTCCACGGGGACGCGACGTGTTCCTTACGGAAATTACCCTCGCGACGATCAGAAAGAGCGACGGTCGGCGACGAGATTAGCAATTAAGGGGTAAACGCGGGTCGCGCCGCGTATCGATCCGTTTGCACTACAAACAACGAGCCGGAAAAATGAGCGCGGACGGTGTTCGGGGCAGAAAAAACAGGGGAGAAAGCGGTATTAATTTAAGGAACGTTCGTAATTTCGGGGGCGGAGCCGAGCCGAGGCGTCGCGGCCTGTTTCCGCTCCGCCGGGGAACGACAAACGCGAGGCCGCCTAATATTCCGTGAACGTCGGTCCGGGGAGCTTCCCGTGGATTCCTTTATCACTTTGCCGCCGCGAAGTATTCAATATAACCGGCTGCATTATGTAGCGAGTTGGACAAGCTCTTCGCCGACGCGGGGGAAAAAAGTTGGCCGAGTAAAGTACACCGGTCGCTTGTCTCGCATTTCAACGAGCTAAGCCGCGGAGGCCCGTGGCTGGCCCACGTGGTTCCGAGGATCGACGCGTTCACCATCGAAAGGAGAAAAGGGGGGAGCAGTAGATAAGGTCGTACAGTGGGGTGTTTCGCCCGATTGGCGCGCCAGAAATCCACGATTTTTATTTTGTTCGAAACGATCGAAACGTTTTTCTTCGTTCCTGAAAATATGTGCAAGCAAGTTAAAAGTAATATTATGTTATTTCCAATAAATATATACTAGATTTAAGAGCTTATAGGATTTCCTTGAAATAATTTCTAAATTCTTCTTGGTTGGTGGAGTACACAATTTTTAAATTGTAAAGAAGTATATTGCTTAAAAAATTACAGCAGAGATAAATTTCGAATGAAAATTGGGCAACTTTGACCGACGATAACTTCGCGAAAAGTCATCGTAGGATGACGATATTTTTTAAAAATTAAAGCTTGAAATCTCTACTTTAAGACAGTATTCCTGGATTTTAAGTTCGATGCACCCTCGCCGCTA